GGAGGCTTTCTCTGGGGGCCCAGGGGCTTGCCTCTGCCCTTTCAAGAGGGAGAATCTGAGCCCAGAAGTAGGGGATGTAGAAGAGGAGGTATTCTGACTGGGGCCAGTCTCAGGCTTGGGAAGTCTCCCGTGCCCCTGTTTGGCCCTCTCTTCCAACTTGGTTTCAGGGGCTGGAGCAGCAGGAGGGGAAGCCGAGCACAGGTGCAGGGAGGACGCTCGTTCTGGTGCAGGCCTGAGTTGCGCCATGTTTTCTGGGCTTCCCAGAGGTTCCTGCATCTTGGAGGAACCACCTGCCTCAAGGCCAGAGGCACAGGGCGGTGGCTCCTCAAGGACGCGGAGGTAGGGCTCCTGGGGCTGGGGTTCTGAGTCCTGGGTGGATGCGTTAACTTTATAGTTGACCTTTCTCCTCGAGCCCAACCTGCGGGGCTCCTCTTCTGAGCTTGCTGGCTTCTCCCAAGCCCATTCTTCCAAGGAAGGTCCCCCCCTGGCCCCTGAGAGGGGCGGCATCCTTTGAGAGAGAAGGATTTCCTTAGTTCTGGATGGTTCCTCCAGTGCCCCCAAAGTACACCCACTGGACGTCTCCACTTCCCTACTGGGAGGCCCTCCTCTGCTCTCCAGGAGGGCCACATAGTCTCCTTCTAAGTCCTGGCTGGCCACATCGTCCATCCTAAAGGCCACCTCCCCCGGCCTGGCTTGTTCCACCTTGATGAGTCCTGGGTACTTGTTCCCATATGTCCTGCCCTTACCCTTGGCCAAGCTCCGGGCAAGCAGCCCCTGGCTGCCGGAGGGCCTGGGCTGATGAGGCTCTGGAGGGCTGCTCAAATCGAGGGCCTCTAACTCGAGGGACCCCCAGGCCCGGGAGAGGACGTTCACTGCTTGGGGTCTGTCATCCACAAACTCTGGGCTGGCTATCTTGGTCCAGGGCACAGGGGCAATCCCATCTTCGGAAGCTACCAGGCAGTTGTGCAGAGGGCTTCCCTCAAAGTCACTGTTGATGGCCTCCAGCCACGTTTGGGTGAAGAGCGTAGGGTAGGATGACGCGGGAACAGGCTTTGCGTCCACTGTGCGGAGGTCCAAGGAGAGGCACTTGACCATGATGCAGACGGACTGCTCCTCCTGGGGCTCCACTTGGAGGTAGAAGTCTCCCTGGCGCAGTAAGAGGGGGTTGAGGGGGGCCAGGTGCACCACGACCTCATCTCGCAGGCACAGTGGCCAGCCCTCATGCAGGAAGAGGCAGTGTGAGTACGGGGCCTGCGGACAGAAGGGCGATGTCAGAGAGCCCCGCCCTGAAAGACCTTGCCCCTGCCCGCGGGTCTGCTCCCTTCCCTCTCCCAGATGGACTCGAGCAGGTCGGGCAAGAGAGGTGCCTGGCCTCTAAGAGGCGCAGCACCTAAGGACAGCCCGTCTCTTGCAAGTCACACAAACCTGAGAGTGGGTGCCTTCTCTTGCCTCGCCCTAGTCCCGGCCGTGACCTTGAAAACGTTTGCTAGCCTACTAGCCCAAGGGAGAAAAAGCTCTGCGTGGCAGGCACCAATTAGCAGGTGCCTTTCCCATGAAGACCGTTCTGCTCGGGTCACAGTCCCTTCTCCCCACCTATTTGAAACCTCTCTCAACCTCGCTCAAGTCTGAGCCCTCCATTTTGGAGCCAGGAGACGTGCGTTCCAAGGTCTGAATCACTACTTTGTACAGATGATATAACTGCTTCCAGCCTCAATTTTCCTATCTGCAAATAGGAATAACAATATGTATCATATGATTGGGTTGGCAGGAGGATTAAGTGAGATTATATGTGTGTGTGTGTGTGTGTGTGTGTGCGCGCGTGTGTGTGAAAACAAAAATCCACAACCCTATGCCTGGCATACACTACTTAAGTGGATGTTCAACAAACATTCATTTCCTCTCCTCTCGACATTTGCCCTTTGAAAGATTGTGGGAATTTTCAATTAAAAAATAAAACAGTCTGGGGGCGCCTGGGTGGCTCAG